ACTGATTTTCCCGCCAGTATGATGTACACAATGTTCCCAGTGATGTCTAGAGTCAAGGCAGAATCTCCTCTTAAGATTTCACTTCTGCTCATTTATGTAGGGAACATTTCCATCTCCCCAGATGTCCAGTTTTGTTTTCAGTGTGAAACTAGTGTATAAACATTTCATCCTTTGCGTGCAGCTCTACAAAAGCTAAAAAAAAGTTACAGCAGTGAAGAAACTGACCCAGCATTTTAGACCCAGCATTTAGTCTATCAGCTCCTGCACTTTAGAGTGCTCCTGGAATGTGTAGCTGTGCATCTTTAGGCAACTGGTATGTTTTGATCAGCTTTTTTTTTTTTTTTGACTCTCTGGTGCTCTTAAGAAGGAGGCCTTAATGAGCAATTGTGCACTTCTTCAGCAGATGGGAGCGATCACGGGGCTCCATTTGCTCTCCCAGAATCTTGTCACAGATTGCCATGGTTGTAATTGCCTCAGTAATTACAATTGAGTTAATAACTCTTATTTTCCAACTCAGGGAACAGGGATGTTCTAACTGCCTAGCAATGATGAATGCAGGTCTGTGGATGGGAAACATACTATTCCATATAGTTTGTACTTTTGCATTATGAACAGGAATGAAGTGGGATTCCCCTGCCCCACCAGACAGACTTCCGAGCTTCTGCAACTACATAGGAACATAGGAAGCTAATTTATACAGAACTACTGTTCAGAGGCCCAGCAATCATAGTGCATTGCTCTGAGGGGCCTAATTCATCAATATGCCCAGGTTATTTGAGTCCAGAAAATCCACAAGAATGGATGTCCCAAGCTTCTTGGAAGATCAGACCTCATCCATAAATCTGCAGTATTTACACAGGTGGAATAAATCCCCAAGGAGCCTGAGAAGCTGGGTGTTGACAATAGCGAGTAAAGCAATAGAAGGGAATTATAGATAATAGTCCTTTTTCTTCACATAAGGGATTTGGCTTTACTGAACTGAGTCATAGACCATGTTTTCTTTGCCCTGTGTGTTTTTAAATTAGTGTTTTTAAAGTTAGTGTTGATTCTAGAGTCATCACCAATAAGTTTCGAAGGGCTGAGAGGGATAGGAAGCGGGAGAATCTGCAGAAAGTGACACACAGTTTAGGCTTTCATAATTCCTTAAAACTTTAGCTGTACTTAAAAAAAATCACACAAGTTGAATGGACTCTTGCACTGTCATGTCTATCAAACATATTTATAGAATTTGCATCTGCAAGGAGGTATCTTCAACAAGAAACTAATTCAATCAGATTTTTCCCTTCTTGGTTTATAGAAAGAGGCATTTAGAGAGGAACTTGGAATGAATTAAAAACAAAACAACCACCCCCCATCATTATTTCAGTATAGCAATTATGAGCAACTGTTTCAATTGTTTTCAAACGATGAAACACTTTCAGCAGATACTAAAGATGCTTAATGGGTTTTGCAAAAAAAATTATTTTAAGATTACTAATATCTATCCCTTTTATTAAAGACATTTGTGGAGATGAGTATTATGTGTGCCTTTTATATCTGCTCTAGAGAAGAAGCCAATATAATGACAATTCTTTCCCACTCCTCCACACCTAATATTTGTTTTATTTGTTCTTTTTGGGCTTGGAACAGGCAATAGCCTGGCCAGAGGCACAATCTGATGAAAACGCTAGCACCAAGACTGAGAAGATCACTGCTCATCACCCATAGTATGCATGCTATCAGCTGTGTAGCCAAGTATGCTACTTTGAACTATGATACCCCAGGATACCAGAGTGAATCTGCAATTTCAACCTATTTCAAGTCCCAATTACACACCTAAAGCAAGGAATCAAAATGGTATTGTCACATGAAACATAGTCTGACTCATTTTACCACACAATCATCTCTGTTTTTTAACTGCTACATGAGGTTGGACAACTCTCTCACTGAGCACCTTCCTCAAAGAATGGTTGAATTCTCATAGAACTGAAGCATGATCCAAAAGGAGACATTTCAATACATTTTGACTCACTTGAAGCCCCACTGACTCCCAAAACATTGCAGTCCTTGCAAAAACTGTGGCTTTGAACCAGGGCCTTCTTAAGCATATCCGGCGCCGTGGTGCAAAGATCCCTCCGGCGCTCCCCCCCCCATTTCCCAGAGTTGTAGAGCTTTTCCCAAGCCTCTGTGGGGATTGCTCTCCTCCTGCGGAGGCTTGGGAAAGAAGCTGCATGCCCGCCAGCCATATAGTTGGCGGGCACAGCTTCCATCCTAAGCCTCTGCGGGGATTGCTCTCCTTCTGTGGAGGCTTGGGAGGCAAGCTGCACACTCACCACCCATATGGTTCATGGGGCACAGCTGGTGGGTGTGCAGGGAAAGGGGGAGGCTGCCAGCAAAGCCGCACAGCTCCCCCATTCACTGGGGCACCCCTGAGAGGCCAGCGCCCTGGCGCAATGCGCCAGTAAGCCCAATAGGAAAGACGGCTCTGCTTTGAAGCAATCCTTCCAAAACTACAACCAGCTTTGATAACTTTCACCACTGTTGGGAAGCTGGGGGATTAGCCATGTCCTAATTCTAACCATTTGCTCTCCTGGTGCTCCTGCTGTTAAAAAACTCCAGTTACCTGGCAATGCTCCACTCAGGATCAATACGTTGAACTCTGGGGTCATCAATGTACTCAAACTGCAACATGCTCTCTAACTGGGCCCGGTCCACACTGACTGAGACATGGACAGAGCCAAGGCCATGAGTGGAAGGTGCCGACACACACACAATTTCGTTTATGGACCTCCTGTAAAAGAGAAGAGAGAAGTGGAACCTTTAACAAATAGGAAGGCAATCAAGGGGCAGCTAACAACAAGCACTCAGGATGACCCACAGATAAAATAAATTCATTGGGCTTACTCTACCAAAAACAAATGGGTGACAACCTTTGTGGAGAGATGTAGTGCCTACCTAACAGATATGGTAGCTACCTGAAGGCACAAGACAAATAATGCTGCAGTACAAGGACTAACCAACTGAAGGCATTACAACTTTTTGCATTCAAATGATACAACTCATTGTAATATTGAGACTGGAACTTGGTCAGAGTTTTAAATTTGCTGTGGTGTTTCAAGTGTTCCAAGCATGTGGTAGAGTCCTATCTATTCAGCATCAGGTTGCATGTGGGTCCTTGCTGGATTAAAAACACCCTTGGGTGAAAACCCTTTTTCATGGAGGTTAGGCAAAAGACTGACTAATGTGTATGTGTGTGAAAGAAGCTGGGATGGAAGGTTTGCATGCCTCTGTACTCCTGACAGTTTGTTTCTCAACGGAAACAGCCTTGGATGGGTGTAGGTTTGAGAAAAGAAATGGGCAGGGAAGGGTTAATTAAGGGCGCTTCCAGACTGTCACTATATTTAGGTGGGAGTCAATCACATCCTGACAAATTCCAGGCTGCGCAATTAAAGCTGATTTCGAGCTGTTGCAAAACAAACCTGCTTCCTCAAAAAGATTGAACTTTTAATGATAAGGAAAGTCATGGGACAATGAACAGGCAGGTGTGGGATAGCACTTGCTTGATGCCACATCATCTAATCTGCCTGCAAACAAATCAAGATGAATTAAATAGCCTATGTTGCCTAATCTTTCCATGAACAAATCAGGTGAAAAACTCATTAAATAGGTTGTCTAGAAGTGACCACTTTCTGCTGTTAGTCTGCTCAAAATCAACCCCAGCAAAAGATATGGAGAACCTGTACATTTCCCCTAAGGTTGGGAAAGCAGCTAGGAGAGAGGAGTGATTCTAAGCTAGCAAATGTCAGGAAAAGAGATAGTTAAATCAGAAGAATTGCATGCTGCAGTGAGTATATGCCCCAGAAATACAATCCTGATGTGTAAATGTGCAATCATACAATTAGAATTCTGAAGGTTCTTGGCCTTCTTAAGAAAAGCTGTAATAAACATGATTAACCATAATATATTAATAGTAATACTGCTTGGGTCAAGTGTGATGTTGGCACACAAAAGCAGCAGGAAGATTCAGTACAAGGTATGAGCTTCAAGTTAGTCTACAGTGATAAAAACATAGGTCATGTTGGAACTGGGTCAATAGTTTCAGCCCAACTTTGGAGGGGGGGCAATTTGGAAAGAGGGAGGTTGAAAAGAGACTGCTCTCAAAAACTGGGGTGGATAGGAGAAATCTCATGAATACTTCAGAGGGGTGGAGCTTGGCTTACTTTACTTAAAAGTGAGGTGGTGACAGCAGCAAGTGTATGATGTGACAGGACTTCCTTATCCTGCCATGGGCATTCTGGCCAGCCCCAAGCCAGAAAATGAGACAGGAGCAGCTATGTAAGACTTTTCAGACTTAAAAAAAAGAAAGAGGAAGAAATATTACCACCTCATTTTTAAGTAAAGTAAGCCAAACTCTCCCCTTCCAATGCAAAAAAGGTTCAAAGAGTTCTCATGCTTCCCCTTCCAACAGCCAGTAAGCATTCTGTTTTAAGGATCATACAACTCAAATTTATATGTGTGTATCATGAGCCCCACTTCCCTTTTGGGACAGGCCATGGCTTGGCAGTCTCAGACTGAGGAGGAGGCGACAGAAGTGGGGGAATTGTGGGGACCGGGTATGGAGGATGAAGGTTCTCCCATTTCCACCTCTTCTGCTGAGTGTAGAGCCTCATTAGGAACAACCCATTAGGGATGGCTGAGCCAGAGGTGGCAGGGACTGAACAGGAGTCAGAAGAATGAGTGCCTTTCTATTGCCAAGCACTGTGCACTACTTCAACTGATGGGAACAGATTCACTCGCCCAGACAGAATGCATTCTCGCAAGGCAAAAGAGTCTTATGAGTAACCTTGCCACACCTCATCTATAAAAACTTGACAGGAGGGGTGTGAGGACTTGTTGGGACATCTTTGTTGTTTCTGCTCAGTTCTAAGTTTCTAGCCTGGCTCCTGAATTACTGAATCCTACTGCTATTGAGTAAAGATCTCTAATGTGCAGTTAAGAGCCTCTGTTGATGTGTTTTTGGCAAGAGTCAGTACATTCTCTCTCTCTCTCTCTCTCTCTCTCTGTGTGTGTGTGTGTGTGAGAGAGAGAGAGAGAGAGAGAGAGAGAAGACAATAGAAGAGGAAGGAGGAAGAAAGGGTAACAAGAGAGAGAGAAGGAATGGAAGATGCAAAGTAAAAAAGGAAGACTAAGTAGAGTTGTAGAAACAGCTACAATTATTTATCTTGGGCTTCAGAAAAAGTCAACTCTGCTTAGAGCTGAATGATTCCTAGCTATTCTCTGTCATGTCCTAGCTATTCCCTGCCACCAGTGGCCTCATGTGAGTACAGGCATTTTAGCATGCTAGAGACCAGACTTCAGAGAAGCCTGCTTAGCCCTTGTGTGAGATCCAAAGCGACACATCACTGCTGGCAAAGAATTACTGCAAGCTCCCTGTGATCAGTTAATTAGCTTTCTGCGCTATTACCATGTCGTCATGGTGAATCTCCCCACTCCTCCGATCAGAGGCAGGAGAATAGAGGGAAGCTGTAATTATAGTGAATCTCATTAGAAACTGCTTCATCTAATCAGTCTCCCTGCACATCATGAGTACATGCCAAGTTCATCACCTACAAACCGTGCAATAAAAAAGAGAGAAGGGGGTGGGAAGAAACAGGCCATGTTATGACCTTGTATGGAAAGGCTGGAGTAAACAGCATACTGCTGGATTCTCAGCAGTGTTAGTTTACAGGTTATATGGAGTAATTAGATCAGTGAATTAGGAGCAATGCCTAAATATAACCATTTATTTATATGGATTATTATGCTGGACCAAGTCTGGCCTTGGAAGCTAGATTTGAACAGCACACTGAAATAAAATATTCTACAAAAATTCTACCTACAGACCATTATAAAATAATAATTTTGATTACCAGGAAAACTATTCCCTCTAGCCTTGGTAGCAGAGTTGTAAAGGCTTACTGGCAGCTATGTCCTTGAAACCTTAAGCTGTTCAAACGGGACATTCAACATTCCAGAGCCCTGGATGGCCAGAAAATTAAAAGAACATATTTCTTCTACTTCTTGTTACAAAAGTGGAACCCCCAGGGGGTACTCAAGGGCACGAGGTACCGGCACCTCTTTTTGTTGTTGTTAAAAAGTGTGGCACTTACTGCAACAACTTCATGGTGAGTACTGGCACCTATTTTTCTAGGAAAAAAGCATTGGCTACGTCCCAGCACTAGTTTCCAAGAGAGCTTCTACACAAGTCTTAAAAAGACATCGGAGAACCAAAGGCTGTGAAGAAGAAATATCATCTACAGATATTGTAATGGTTCTAGGGGTTGCTCATGCATAAGCCGGTGCTTATCTCCCCGGCTGAGTGCAAACACCTGGCTGGGTTGCCTAAGTGAACCTTTTCTGTTCGGACAGCCACTCACCCGTGGCTGACTAAATCGCTGGCAGAATCCGTCAGTGGGCGTTTCTTAAACTTCTTCCAGCAAAGAAGCTCTTTGACGCCTAGTCTCCTTCTACTCTCTCTGCACGAAAGCCTTCCGCGCAAGGAGGGCGTGGGCAACGGAGGACCCCTACTCTCCCCGCTGGTCCCAGGCAAGAAGTCATGGGACCGCCTTGCCGCTTCCCCCATCTCCACTGGTGCTACGCTGATTCTCTTCCCCAGAAGATGGGCTGCTTCTCCCAAACCCTGGACGCTCTCTGGAATCCCTCTAGCTTTTGCTCTCTCCCTCCAGCACTGATGGCAGTTCCCTGACATCCACCTCCTCCTCAGGACCCCCCCCCTCCACCCCTGGCACGATCTTCCGATACAACCTCCTCTCTCTCCTCGACCGACGATGCGGGGAATCCCCTGAAAGAACTGTCATCATTTTCTGAGGATTCAAAACCAACCTCCCATCCGCTCAGATCTCTTCCCACTGGTTGAACCTCCCAGTCTGATTCTTCTCCCTCGGACACCTCCCCTCCCTCCTCTTCGGAGGCAGGAAAACCCACAAAGTCCCCTTCGTCATCTGTGGGTCCAAATTCTTCCTCCCAGAATCTAGCTAATGGTTTGGGCTTACCCGGGAACAAACCATGAAATTCTTCCACCAGATACCCGTCAGTGATTGATTCTGCAGGGACCCAAGTGTTTTCAGACCTAGGTTCCCCCTCCCAGGCTACCAAGTACTCTACCTGGCGACCTCGCCACCTCGAATCGAGTATTTCCGTAGCTTCGTTACAGTGTTCCCTCTCCTCTACCCGCGGGTGGGTGGTAACCCCTCCCTCCCGTCCCGGGAATTCCCGCCCCTCCCTGTAAGGTGAAAGTAGGGACCTATGGAACACTGGATGTATCTTCATGCTGTCAGGCAACTTGAGTTTAAATGCCACTGGGTTAACCTGCTGTATTACCTCAAAAGGCCCCAGCCGCCTAGGCTGCAACTTCTTGCACCCTCCCTTTAGGGGCAACCCTTGGGATGATAACCACACCCGGTCTCCCACCCGTATGGCCTCCCCCTCCCGACGGTGCCTGTCTGCCTGCCTCTTGTAAATTTCCTTGGCCCGCTCCAAGTTCAGCCTGAGTTGCTGGTGTAAGGCCTCCATTTCCTCCACAAATTGCTCAGCCGCAGGTACACTCCATCCTTTCTCCCCCCGCCCGGGGAAGGCCCTGGGGAGACACCCGTAATTGGCCATGAAAGGGCTCATTCCCGTGGACACGTGTTCAGCGTTATTGTACGCAAATTCAGCCAAAGTTAAATTCTCTACCCAATCGTTCTGCCTCTCGCTGACATAGCAGCGTAGGTACTGCTGGAGTATACCGTTCACTCTTTCGGCTGGTTTTATAGCAGGTGAAAAGAGAAAGCAGAACAGGCAAGTGACATTGTACTTCCTCATCTCACCAAGTTCCTTCTATCTTACAAACAAGCAACAGATCCAAGTGGGGAAAATAGACCAAAAGGTGGAACCTAGCTTTCCACATCCCTTCTTGAACAATGCACATACATTTCCTACTCCTCTGAGCAACTATTTTATCATTTTTACTGCAGTTACATTTATATCCTACATTTCTTCCATCACGGAACTCAAGGCACTGTGCACAAGTACTGACTGGCAGTCCCTGTCTAGTGTTGTGCCACCCCTGCCTGGAGATACCAGGGACTGAATCTGGGGCCATTTGTGTGCCACACACATGCTGCTCCACTGAGCTGCAGCACCATATGACTTCAGACTAGGCCCCAAGAGCACTTTTACTGTGAACATATGACATGTCCCCCATACTAGGACATTTGAGGTGGGGATGGCGTGCCATTGAGCATAAGAGCCTCCCAAATTCCATAGCTCATCATGAAGCCTGGAAAGAATGTTTTTCGTATTATGAAATATTTGGAACAGTTGATAAAAAGCTACACTAGTACTACAATGCAGAAAGGCATATGTCAACAGATGCTTATTAATGATCACTGTAGCTCATATGAATGGTGCATAAATCAGGGTGTATCTATCAATGTACTGTATATTTTTAAAATGACAAATAATATAGTATGCATTTTTCCATAAAGAGTAAAAGTGGTGAAATATGGAATTCATCCCAGAAATAAAAACAGGTATTTGTTGGTGAGAGCTCAAGTTTCAATAAGAAAAGACTAACACTTTATCCTTAGTCTCTGTCAATTAGAACTTTCCCCACCATTCTGGCAACTGCCAATCTTCTGCTACATCTACAATCAGGATACCAAAGTGGAAAGAGGTGCCTATAGTTCTTTCAGGATTGCATTTACTCATGAGACGAGGGGGGTGGAGATACTTTAAAGGGATTTTTACAACAGCAGAACATGCTTGGGATCTGCAGAAGGGGCAGGATTTTACTATATGAAAATAAAGCAATGGATAAAATGAATAAACATTAAACTGGCTCATTGCTATGCAATGCTCATTATTGTCAGTGACAGGGTAGCTTAAGGTGATTAAGAAGATATTGGGCATATTATAGCTGGAGTAGCTGAAACGCTGCCCATGGAAGCACAATTACAATAACACACACTGATATCCATGGATCAGCCCCCTTACCCATAAAACTCGCAGGTCTGGTTACCCAGCAACACCGATACACTGCTGCCAGCCCCTAGAAAATGGCCAGCGATGGTCACCATAGTCCCTCCTGACTCTGGTCCACGGCTAGGACTCAAGGTGCTCACTGCAGGGTTCTTGGAAAGAAAGAAAAGAACAAGATAATCTGCTATGGTGTGATGCTGTTGCATATAAGACTACAGCACTAAGTTGCATTTCTATGTGAAGGTAGGTCCTTTGGTTGAAGACATGAAATACATGACCAAATACAGCTAGCAGGAAGAGTTTGTATCCAGTTGTATTTCTTTCTTTCTGCCCCTCCCCTCAAGTTTCTTTAATGTAAATAACTCCCCCAATTTGGTGCTTGGATGTGGGAAACTGCTATCCATACTTCTGCTTGTCCTGTGCCTCAAAAGCACAGATCTGAGTGGTTTTCCCTTTGCTCTAATCCTTTCCCCACTCTTTAGTGCTAAATTGGAGCATACATCAATCCAGAGAAAACTGAAATTGCTGTTTGCTCTGACTGAGTGCGAAAGAAGGGTTTTCCCTGGGGGAAAGCAGTGGGACAAAAGGAAGTGTGGATAAACCCTGAGGCTCAAAACATCACAAAACAATAAAAATTGCTTAGCTTGGGCCTAGGCACTATTGTGAAGCCTAGCCATGTCACAGGATTTTTGTGAGGAAAAAACACTGCTTTGGACTCCTTGGACAAAAGCAATGGAAGACATAGTAACAATAAAATAAAACCATCAATGTCACAGATCACAAAAATATACATAAACATAGAAGTTTTATGAACTGTTAGGATTTGAAATGAAACTATTTTAGAGACTGCATTTCTCCCCGTGCAGAACTAAAAGAATTAACGTGTCAATCAGCGTGTTCATAATTAGTGACTGCTGCTTATTCTTACTAAATAAATCTGAATAAATCAGGTACAGCTTTGTTTTTAGTCCATGGATATAACCAAATTGTTTAGCTAGTCCTTTCCCCACAATGACTCATATCCACTGTTGGGCAACATCCCTTCTGAATTCCCTGAACAGTACCATCTTTGTTCAATAACAGACAGTACAGTGAATATGACA